CTGCACTCAGGAATTACTCCTGGCGGTGCTCAGGGGACCATAGGGGATGCTGGATGCTGGGAATCGAACCCGGGTCTGCCACATGCAAGGCAAAGACCCTACCCACTGTGCTATTGCTCCAGCCCCTGAGTATTTTTTTTAATAAGCCTCTTGGCCATCTGTTGGTCTTTCTTAAAGAAGTCCCTGTTCTCTTTCTCTCAAAAATGGGATTTTTGGGTAGGTCTTTGGATTTTTTTTTTTTTGGGTTAGTACTTTATACAGCCTGGATATCAACCCTTTATTTAGCTCGTGCGTTGAATGCAAATATTTTCGTCCATTCAGGTGTCTGTTAGTTTTAGTCTGTGCTGTTTTTGCCATATAAAAAAGGCTCGAGCAGGCCCAGTAACGTCTCCATTGGAGACTTTGTTGCTCACGGGTAGCTTGCCAGGCTCTGGTGTGCGGGCGAGATACTCTCGGCAGCTTGCTGGGCTCTCCAAGAGGGGCGGAGGAATCGAACTCGGGTTGGCCATGTTGGCTGCGTGCAAGGCAAACGCCCTGCTGCTGTGCTATCGCTCCAGTCCTATGAGACGCTTTATATTTTTACTTTTTTTTTTCTTTTTGGGTCACACCTGGTGATGCTCAGGGGTTCCTCCTGGCTCATGCACTCAGGAATTACTCCTGGCGGTGCTCGGGGGACCCTACTGGATGCTGGGAATCGAACCCGGATCGGCTGCTAGCAAGGCAAACGCCCTCCCCGCTGTGCTATCGCTCCAGCCCCAATATATGAGATGCTTTAATTTGCTATAATCCCACTTGTTTAGTTTTGATTCTGTGGCTGTAGCCAGGGGCATCCTATCACTGACGACCCTTTAGGGCCCAAATCCTGGCGCGTTCTGCCTGTTTCCTTTCCCGTATACTTTATAGATTCTGGCCTGCTCTCAAGGTCTTTGATTCACTTTGAATCGCCTTTCGCACCTGTGTGTGTTGTTCGCGGCTTCTCCCGCCAAGGAAGCAAGAAAAGTCGCGGGTGTGGGTGAGAGTCACAGCCGTGTGTGGTATGGGGCTGCCCACTGTGTGCGTGGAAGGAGCACGGGCCCGGGAGTCGCCGCCATCACCCACTGGTCCCACGGAAGTTATGAGCTGCAGGGGTTTTTTTTTGATACTTTTTAAAAAAATTTTTGGGTCACACCTGGTGATGCACAGGAGTTACTCCTGGTTCATGCACTCAGGAATTACTCCTGGCAGTGCTTGGGGGACCCTATGGGATGCTGGGAATCGAACCCAGGTCAACCGCGTGCAAGACAAACACCCTACCCGCTGTGCTATTGCTCCAGCCCCACGAGCTGCAGGTTTTAATCGGGAAGGCTTTGCCCATGTGGCACCTTCCAGTTTGCGGGGGTCTCAGGAGGAGAGCAGAGAGGGAGGAAGACCCCCCCACCTCCCCAATCTCTTCCCTTCCCTGTGGGGGGGGGGCAGTGGATTCGGCACTTCTGTGCTCTCCCCATGGGCACGGCTCTGGCTCTAGCCCTGGTGACCTTGTGTGTCCTGACCTTGCGGGGAGGAATGTACCAGCCCCTCCCTATCCCTCCCCACAGGCTCTGCCCCTCCCCCAATTCTGCCCCCACAAGGGTCATTTCTCACCATGGAGACTGGGCCACCAAGTGAGTAGTTTTCTGCTGCTGGGCCTATCTCCAGACCAGGCAGCCCAGCCCAAGGCCGCCGCTCGGGAGGGGACCGGGCTCCTGGGAGATGCCCCCACCAGCCAGATGGAGGAGGCCCTCAAGAAGAGCTGACAGTTCAGCAGGGACAGTGACGGCCGCCTGGACAGTGCCGACCAGCCAAGGACAGCGTCCTTGCCCTCACCCTGGCAACGGGCTCTTCCGGCCCCCCAGCCAGGGCAGTGGAGGCTCAAGGCAGCCGAAGCAGCTCGTCTGCACATCTGTCTGTCTGTCTGTCTGTCTGGACGTCCACCCAGTGCGGTTTCTCCCCCGGCTCTCTGGCGCTCCCAGGCTGGGGCCATCCCTGCCTGTCTGGTTCTGGGGGTCTCTCCTTCCCCTTGCATCTTCCAAGTTCCAACTGTTTCCGCCTGGCCATCCTCTTGGGAAACGCTTCTCTGTCTGGACAGGGACAGACAGGAAACCCAAGCAGTGCCCAGAGCCTTTCACCCAGGCCAGGCTCTGCAGGTCATGTGGGGCTCAGGAGAAAACTCTTCATGGGGTGATCAGGACCCAAGTATTTCCCATGGAGCCCTGGACCCTGGGATCCCTGGGTGGGGGCAAGAGAGGGTGGTCACCCTCCACCTCTCTCTGTCTCTCCCCCTCTCTCCCTTCATCCCTCCCTTCTCTCTTACCCTTCTCCTTTCTCCTCTCCTTCTCTCTCTCTCTCTCTCTCTCTCTCTCTCTCTCTCTCTCTCTCTCTCTCTCTCCCTCCCTCTCCCCTCTCTTTCCTCTCCTGCTTAGAGACAAGGCCCCGGGCTTCTCCCCCAGCTGGGAGGCAGCTACTCACACCCTTGAATCCTCTGTGCCTGTGGCCAGCTTCAGGCTGTAGGTTCGTGCCGGTTTTGAGCTGTGTGCAGACCAGAACCAGCAGTGCCCAGAGGAGCAGGACCCAGGGCCCGCTGGGGACGGGGGTGGGGGGGGTTGAAGATGACCCAGGGTGCAGGGTTGGGGATGAGAGAACAGGCTGAGCCAGACACGGCACGCGGGACCCCCCAGCACTGCCGTGTCCCCCAGAAACAATCCCTGCACATCTCCGAGCCTGTCGCCCTTTCACCTTCCTCCACTACTGAAGAAAATGGAAACAGAAAGATGATGAAAAGGGAAAGATCAAAAGGAAAATAGATTTCCTTGGCGCTCAGCTGAGCCTCCTTGCTGGGCCCCTCCTGCGTTTCTATCTCGGCAGAGAGTCTCTTAGGAGCCCCTGTTGGCGCGTGTCCCCAGGGGCCGCAAGGGGCTGGCTCGGCTCCTCCTGGGGCCTCTTCACAGTCCAGCACATGTCGTGGCTTAAAGGCAGAGAGCCAGGCGGGCACCCACCCTGAGCTGGGGGCTCTTCCAGGGAGAGAGAGCCTCATGGGAAGCTGTACCGTCTCCCAGGAGTGAGGAGGCTGGGTAAGAAAGAGTTAATCTTGGGAAGATTTGGGGGTGAGGAGGCACAGGACCAGGGCAAAGCCACCAGGACCCGGTCAAGGGGTCTCCCAGCCAGAGTGGACTCCCGGCACCGGAACCCTTCAGAGTGATCTTCTGGCATTGGGACCCTTCAGAGTGACCTTCTGGCACTGGGACCCTTCAGAGTGGCCTCCTGGCACCAGGGCCCAGTCCTGACACATGCCCTGGACACTCCGCAGGACAGTCACTCCCCGGTCAGCATTTCTCTAAAGGGAGAGTGAAATCCGGGAAGGTTCGTATGAGAGAGTGAAGAGTCAGTCCTGTCTCTTGCTCAGAGGAAGGGTGCCCCGGTCCCCACAGCCATCCCTGCGACCCCCCCTTTCCAGTGGCAGTTGCCCCCTGGCCAAGGAGCGCGCTGAGGATTGGGCATCTGGATGGAGACTCAGTTCCCCAGGGACCCCTGCTCACCCAGCACTTTTTTGGTGGGGGGGCTTTTTGGGTCACATCCGTGGGGGTTCCTCCTGCCCCTGCACTCAGGAATGACTCCTGGCGGTGCTTGGGGGACCTTATGGGATGGTGGGAATTGAACTCGGGTCAGCTGTGTGCAAGGCAAACACCCTCCCTGCTGTACTATCACTCCAACCCCACCGCCTGGCACTTTTGGAAACGAAATGGCACCGTTTTGTGATTCCTCTGGAAGATGAACACGGTCCGCCGAGCATTTGTGAGCGACACCAGACAGCCTCACCGGAACTTGTGGCCGGCAGCTGGGGGCATTGGGAGGAGGGTCTGAGTGTCAGACAAACAGCCACGGAACCCTTTTATTATTTCCAAACATCCCAAGCAAATGCTGTTGCTTATTCGAGCATGTTGAGTACAGCGAAAAAAAAAAAAAAAAGCCTGAGAGATCCCAGCACAAGTGAAACACGCAGCCGAACACCAGAGACGCAGCCCGGGCCGGGGAGCAAGGGCAGGGGTGAGGGCAGCCGAGGCCGGGTGCAGTGGGCAGTGCTGCGGGGGAAGGGACGGGCGTGAGGGGCTGAAGTGGCCGCCTTCCGGGGAAACCACAGAGGGGTTCCCTCACCTGCGAGGGTCCCAGTAACAGCGAGGCATTTTCTAGATGCCCAGACAGTCCCTCCCGCTCTTGGCTGAAGGGTTGAAGGGCAAGGGGAGCCAGGGTGCTGGCAGGGGGGGCTCAGGCACAGGTGTGGCCTCATGGCTCCAGCCCTCTCTGCCCCCCAGCAGCGGGAAAGCCCCCCCTACCCCCCCGGCAGACAACCCCACAAACCCTGCACTGCAAGCACAGAAGCGGGTTTCCTTGGATTCTCGTTTTGGGGGGGTGGTGGGAGCAGCCAGGAGGTTGCGGGAGCAGCTTCGATTGCTTTTTTGCACAAAGAATCCGCGTAGCTGGCAAAGCTTTGCTGTGAACACAGGACAGAGGGAAACTCCTCTCTGCGGCTCCTCTGCCTCTCCGTGCTCCAGGGAGCCTGGGCCGGGGATGAGCGGCGGTGGCGGTGGCCTGCGGGTGCATGCGGGTCCCCCCTCCCTCTCTCGCTTCTCCTTGACTGTCAGTGACTCACCCACACGGAGTTCCCATCAGGGGGTCTCTGTAGAGCAGCACAGGGGCGTGGGGGTCGTGCAGAGACCCCTGTGAGTCCCCCAACCCAGCCCAGGATAGTCCCAGCGGCCACCGGAGGAGAGTGCATCGTGTTGGGGAGGGTTTGGTGGCACCACCAGGGTCGCGCAGGACGGAAGCCAAGTTTCGGACACACGGCCAGAGATGTTCCAGTTTCACAGCCCAAGTCACCCGCCGCCCTGCCCAGGCCACTCCCCGCCTCCTGTCCCACGAGGAACCCCCTGTTCCTCTTCTTCCTAAACTCTTAGGCGGGGTGGGGTGGGGGCGCGCAGAGCCCACCTTCAGCCCAGGTGGAGGCCGCTGCAGCCGCAGAGGATGTGGGTGAAGGTCTTGCGCAGCTCGGGGCTGCGGAAGGCGTAGATGAGCGGGTCGAGGACCGAGTTGCACATGATGAGGACCAGGTAGGCGTTGAAGTGGGCGGTGTAGCAGACGCAGGCGGGGTGCTTGGGGCAGGCGATGATGAGCAGCAGGTGCAGGAAGAAGGGGCCCCAGCAGAGCAGGAAGGCGCCCAGCAGGAGGCTGACGGTCAGGGCGCCCTTGAGGCGCGAGCAGGGGCGCGGGGCGGCGGCGGCGGCGGCGGCGTCCGCAGGGGCGCGCGCGGGGGGCAGCGCGGCGATGCGCCGGGCGTGCAGGCGCGCGAAGAGGCACATGTGGACGTAGAGCGTGGCCATGAGCAGCAGCATGGCCAGGAACAGGGCCACCAGGCACAGCACCACCGTCTTGCTGTCCGAGTAGACGATGAAGACCACGCCGCAGACGCCGCAGCCCGCCCAGATGGCCGCGATGACCGCGGCCGCCCGGCGCGCGGTCATGATGCTGTGGTAGCGCAGCGCGTAGAAGATGGTCACGTACCTGTCCACGGCGATGGCCAGCAGGTTGCACACGGAGGCCACCAGCGAGATGCAGATCATGGAGTCGAAGACGTTGTCCATCTGCTGCAGGACCCGGTCGTCCCAGGCCAGGTAGCGCCCGTTGACCGCCGCGATGACCACCGTCTCCAGCGCGTTGGACAGGCTGACCAGCATGTCGGCCACGGCCAGGCTGCACAGGAAGAAGTACATGGGCGAGTGCAGGTTGGCGTTGCTGGCCACGGCGGCCACCACCAGGACGTTCTCCAGCAGGCTGACCAGGCCCAGCCCCAGGAAGACCTCGGGCTGGATGAACACCTGCTGGCAGAAGCTGCTGCTCTGGTTGGCGGCGGGGGTCGCGGGCGGGACCCCCAGCCCGCAGCAGGAGGCGTTGGTGGCCATCCCGGGTGGGGGGTGCGGGGGTCCTGCACGCTGCTGCAGGCGACGACGACGACGACGACGACGACGGGGAAAGTCACCCGGAGCGGGCGCGGGCGCGACTCGCGGCCCCTTGCCGGGGAGCCTGGCGTGGGCGGGGGGCGCGCGGCACCGTCGCGGGGACTTGGCAGCCCTGCGAGAACTTTCCCGCGGCCCTGCCCGCCGCCGCCACCGGTTGCTGCCGCCCGCGCCCAGGGGCCGGGGGTGGGTCCCGCCGCGGGGAGCCGCGCGAGCGCCGGCCGCGGGTTCTAGGCATTGGCTGTCGGCGCTCGGCTGCGTCCCGCTGCTCGGCGCGCCCGGTGACCACTGAGCATCGCGCTGCCGCTGACTGACAGCCGCGCGCGCGGGGCGTCCGCCAGCCCACGGCCGCCCTCTGCAGGCCGCGCCGCTGAGCAGGGGCAGGCGGACCCCAGGGCCACCAGCGGGTCCGAGGCCCGCGTCCCTGTGCGGCTCTGTGCAGGCTGGACCCCGCGTCCCTGCGGGCTGGACCCCGTGTCCCTGCGGGCTGGACCCCGCATCCCTGCGGGCTGGACCCCGTGTCCCTGTAGACTGGAGTTCGCGTCCCTGCAGGCTGGACCCCGTGTCCTTGCTGGCTGGACCCCGCGTCCCTGCGGGCTGGACCTTGCATTCCTGTGGGCTGGACTCCGCGTCCCTGCAGGCTGGACTCCACGTCCCTTCGGGCTGGACCCTGCGTCCCTGCAGGCTGGACCCCGCATCCCTGCAGGCTGGACTCTGGGACTCTGCAGGCTGGATCCCGGGTTCCTGAAGGCTGGACCCCGCATCCCTGCAGGCTGGACCCCGGGTTCCTGCAGGTGGGACCCCGCGTCCCTGCAGGCGGGACTCTGGGTCCCTGCAGACTGGATCCCGGGTTCCTGCAGGCTGGATCTCGCGTCCCTGCAGGCTGGACTCCGGGTCCCTGCAGAATGGACCCCGCGTTCCTGCGGGCTGGACACCATGTCTGGTTCGGTGCAGGCTGGACAAACTGCCCCTGCCTCCCACACCCCATTGTCAGCAGGAAGGGCTCCTGTGCAGCAGGACAGACGCTGACACTGAACCCTCAGCCTGGCCGGGGACTGTCTCAGGTGTTTATTGGGCGCACTTGTATATCTGGTCCCTGTCATGGCCATGTCTTCTTTGGCCCCCAGATCCAGGCAGATGGGGACACTTAAGTTCAGGGTAGGGAAGTGGGTCGGGGGCGCGCAGGGAGAGTAGGCGGGAGTGTTAAGGAAAGAGGAGGGGCAGGTGAAGGGGGTCCAGGCACAGCCCACCTCCTCTCCAGGACAGGAGCAGCCGCTGGGCCCTGTGGGGAGATCCGTGCCCTGGAGAGGGGCCACCCAGCCCTCTGAGGGCTGCAGGAGCGTTGGCAGCTTTGCCAGGCGAGCCAGAACGACTGGCCGGTGTGTTTGCTCCTCTCCAGTGCTCTGCTGGGCTCCAGCAGGGAGGCGCGGCAGAGGACGGGTGGCAGCGGGTTCCGCTGCTATTCTAGAAAGGAGAGAAGTGCCTGGACCCTGCGGGGGCGGGGGGGGGGGGTGTGGGTTGCAGTGAGGCACCTCATTTCCTCAGGCAGGAGGAGGGGACAGGAAGTGGTTCTGAGCTGGCTGTCAGGAAACAGATTTTTTTCTTTTTGGGTCACACCCAGCAATGCTCAGGGGTCCCTCCTGGCTCTGCACTCAGGAATCACTCCTGGTGGTGCTTGGGGGACCCTATGGGATGCCAGGGATTGAATCCAGGTCGGCTGTGTGCAAGGCAAATGCCTTCCCCGTGGTGCTGTTGCACCGACCCGGAAAGCAGAGCTGAGCGGTTGGCTTTGCTACGTGGTTCGTGGGATCAAGTCAACTCTGGAAACCTCACATCTCGCTCTACATACGTGTCCCCACATCCCCACACATACCAGCACACGCACCTTACACTTGCACACACACATTTATACACACACAGACATACACAGACATACAGACACACAGACATACACACCCATGAACACACACAAGCAGACACGCTCACATACACATGTAAACCCACACACATGCATGCAGACACACAATAGTCTCACACACAGCCGTAATCTCACTCTGCGTGTGAGTGACTGTACGTGCATAGTTAGAAGAAATAGGCAAGTGGAGTGGAAGAAAAATTCTCCAAGTTTGCATTCGAGAGATCTTATCAAGGAGAGGTTTTTGCAGCGTGAAAATGCACCCCCTCCCCTCCAGTACCTTTAAGGACGGAAGAAAACCCTAGCCGAAAGCACAAAAAGGCCAACAGGAAGAAAATGTTTGCATAGGCCAAGTTAATTATCCCCTCCAGAGAATATTTTTGCATTAATCAGAAAAGGATGAATTACCACTTAGGAAAGTGGGCAGAAGAGAGGAGTAGAAATTCTCTGAGGAGGAAATGCAAAATGTCTGATAAACACAGAAAGCTGCTCAGCCTTGGGCCGCCGGGGAACCCCCATTGGAAACATAGATCCTTCCCGCTAGTGAGATTGGTAAGAACCGAAAAGATCCCATTGTCAGGAGTGAGGACTAAGAGAACCTGCAACGTTCCTCCTGCCCGTTCCCTAGGCCACGCCCTGCAGAGTCGGGGCAGAGGTGGTGGTGGGGAGATTCGGGGCTGGGGTCACTGAGCCCTGTGGAAAGTCCTTCTTTCATTTAAAACTCCCAGACAGGAAGGAGGATGAAAAGTTGAAATTCCAGAGCACAAGAGGATCCCGGGCATCCAGATGACCTGGAGGACCACAGACACAGGGGTGGTGGGTGCCCCCCTCCCTCCCTCCCTCCCTCCGTACCTCCCTCCCTGGGGAGCCATCTCTGGCTGCAAGGTATCTGGGCCAGGGAGTGTCCATCCCCCCGTCCGTCCTGTCCACGGAGCCCCCTCTGTGAGCATTCCGTTGCTGTTTTAGAGGGGAGGGCAGTGGACCCCCGGCTTGGGCAGTGACCAGCACCTCAGGGAAGGGCTGCTGGCTCAGATCGGCGCCCCCCTCTCCGCAGCTCAATATATGGCTCTTTCCGGTCTTGATCTGACCAGCAACAAGATTCGTCTCTGACCGGAACTGAGGCTCCTTCCTGAGTGCTGTTGCGTCTGCCCGCGTAGGAGTCAGTGCACCCCTAAAATTCCTCTTTTACTGTGGATTGTTGTGTGGGTTGCCCGCCGCTCCCCTCAAACCAGACGATAGACGCTGACCTCGGTTAGCAGGAAGCGGGTGCTCTTTGACACTGCTGGGGGTACACCACTGCGATGGGTAGGTATTCTACAGCTGGGTTCTCAGAAACGCTCATCCAGGGCGGTTTGTGGTACCCAGGTTGGTCAAGAGAGGATGCTATTTTTTTGGGCTGCAGGGCAGCGCCATCTTGTGGCCGTTACAGGCAGTGCAGCTCCCTCCCGCGCCACGTACCTTGTGGAATTGGGAGCGCTCCACCTCCCTCTCCCCAGCGGGTCCCCACCCCTCTCCTGACTCCTGTCTTCATCTCTCCCACCGTGATGCTGTTACCCTGATGTCAGAGGAACTGTCCTAAGCACGCCGTGCCTCTTCTCTGAATCGGTTGCAGCTGTCCCCACTGTCCGGGGGAAGGGGTGTGGGGAGGAACACGGGCTTTCAAGCATTTTAGTGGCTTCTGGCTTTCCAGGGTGGCAAGGACCGGAAACCTCAGGCTTAAAGCGAACCAGCGGCTTCTTCATTCTCGAGGAGGCAAGCCAAGAAACAATTTGTTTCCAAGAAACAAAACTGCCGGGTGGGGGTGGAGGGTCAGAGAGCGCTATAAGGTGAGCTGGGCACTTGCTTTGCTTGCTGGAGGCTTCCCACAGGGTCTCTCCAGCACCTCTAGGAGCTACAGCTGAGCACTGAGCTGGGAGTAGCCTTTGAATATAGTGGGGCAAGCCCTCAAGCTAAAAACTCTAAAAGAAAGAGTTACATTGTTTTAATATTAAAACATTGTTATCCTAATGACCACAAGCATGCACCTGTTCCTGCTTTGCCGCCATCTGACGTTAGAAATGACACATGTAGATGAATTTCAGAGAAGCAATGAATAACTTTTGAAGGTAAATGTGCCCCACGCACTTTTGTTACTAAAAAAGTCATCCATGTAAGCTCTTTCACCAGCCATGATCCAGAGACTCAGAAGTAAGTCTCCAAAGAGATCAACAAGTAGCAGAATTTCTCCCGGATCCTGCACAAGGCTCAGTGGTCCCGGGGGAGGGGGGCAACCCGGAAGGGAGTGGGTGAGCCCCTACACCTGCCCAAACAGAGCCCCAGGAGCTGAAAACTTCCGCACCCCTCAATCACCGCCATGCTTCTTGCTGGACCCCATGGCTCAGATGAGTCTCATCCAGGAATGAGTCTATTGAAACACTCAGGTATGTGGGTTTTGTGACTGAAATCTCCAGCATTCACGGGACAGGGGATGGGCTACCCCCATCTCCCTGAACTTCCAGAAGCCTGGCGTAATGCCCACACCCCAAAGCTGCCAGTCAAGAATTTAATTCCAGCTGTGTCATCCCATTAGAGATTTTGGATGCCCTGGAGCCTCATGGTCGTGATTTCTGGTGTGCGATATCTCAAACCCTAACACTGATAAGCCAGGAGTAGCAGACCAGGTTGGATGGGATGCAGCGTAGAAGGGAACCAATCTTTATTAACAAAAATATAAACACCGAAGGCTTAACCTGTAACCCGTTTTAGTAATCTCTTATACAAGGGTTTAAAGGTTCCATGGTGAGATACAACAATCTTCACTAACTTTCTTCTGAGGAAACATTTTTTTTTGATTATCCTTTGAGCAAATTATTTCTAAACAAGCAATATAAAATAAATTATTGAGGGCCTGCAGTGGGGGCAGGCTCAAGGGGTGGTTGGGAAAATTGGAAATAATGCTGGTGGGAAGGTACAATGGTGGTGGGATTGGCGTTGAAATCTTGAATGTTTGTAACTAAACTGTTCTGGCGCCGTGTAATCCCATCAACGGCCA